ATGCACCTGAACACACCTCATTTTCAGACCAGCCCGCCCATGGCCGCACAAATGGGCGCAAATGCATTTGCTATTTAAACAACATGGTGCAGGATGTGAAAATGATAACTGCGTTAGGCTGAAACTGGCAAAAATCACTTGTGTCGTACTTGGCACCGCATTGCGCCGGGTGTATGATAGGGCCCATTGTGTTTATCAGCTGTTTGGACTCTCATTCTGACGGCACCCATTCACTGCAGAGGATCCATTGGTGAGCAAGTGATGTAATGCTACATTTCTCCAAATCTGATGAAGAAACAAACTAGTAAACTCATCTGCTCACTAGTTGCTTTTACAGTTTATAATTGCGCTCTTGCAAACTATTATGACTCAAACTTTTAAGGAAAATGTTTTAAAGACTGAAAAAGATGTTGAAGCTTAATGATGGGAATGTTGAAGTCATGCAACCGTGGTGTAGTTAATTTATAGCCTAGACTTCAAAATTCATGAACATTATCATGATGAACAAAATGTGTAAGAATCAACTTTTGTTAGTCACAGAGCTAATTCTCTGCAATAATCCAAAAGACAATGGAAAAATCCTACTGGGTTTTTGTCGAGGGATCCAGATTGATGATCATTTATGGGTTGGCCTACAAAAATATCACCACTACAGCACTTGTACTGACACTGACTATGATGTCATGGTTCAATAATTCACCCAAAAAGGAATATTCCGTCATTATTTACTCTCCTTCAAATCATTCCAAACCTGTGGCTTTCTTCTGTAGGACAGAAACAAAACAACAAAATTAGAGCCCATTTTGTGTTCCACAGTAGAAAGGAATGACACGAGGGTGAGTAAATGATGACAGAATTTTCATTTTTTTGGCTGAACTATCTCTTTAAAAACAAAAGTTCCATTTAGAACCATGACATCATTGGAGAACCTTTCAAAATTCCACTAAGAACATTTTTGAATACACTATCATTTTAAGACTAAGCATGTGTGATGAGCTCCTCAGATCTCCTCAAGCTGAATTTATTCTATTTCTCTTTCTGCTCTTCTCCAATGTTCTTCTCCTAATCATGCTATTTGGCTTTCTCTCCATTACGGCCGTCTCTCACTCACCCGCCCCTCTCCATCTCCGACTCTATTCCAGCGCTCGCCTCATGCCACTTTTTTCTGCTTTTAAATTCCACCCAATTTAGTTAAACTAATCTCACTTCCATCCTTCAATCGCTCTCTCCACAGCTGCTTATTCCTGAGAGGAGACGAGAGAGACGTATGAGATGCGCAGACAGAGAGAGAGACGGATGCAAGCGTGGGAAGAGAGCTGAAGTCCTTGAGATCTTAAGTGAAGGTTACACTCCACCAGATTCTGACACACACACACACACACACACACACACACACACACACACACACACACACACACACACACAGACACACACACAACACACACACACACACACACACACACACACACACACACACACACACACACACAATTACAAACACACACATATTCTGTACTGAATAATGATTATGAACACAATGGCTTCGTTTACCATGACTACTGTGTGTGCTTTCCCAGCATGCTTTGCAGAAGAGATGGCCATAACCATGTCTGATGTTAGTGATGCCAAATGTCATTGGCATCCCATAACAGATCAAACGTGTCAAATTTTAATATGTGCATATTCAAATGACAAAAATTAGATTTGAAAGCTATCAGCTACTGAGAGCTATTCAGTCTGTTTCATACACTAAAATACTGTATGACTTCAGACAACTTGGAATATAGTGCGTGGTTCATATGGACCAATTTTTGGTGTTTTTTAATGGTGTAATTTTTGGGAGATTTACAGTCCCTAGTCACCATTCATTCACACTGTAAAACATTTTTTTAAATGACTTGTTTTTTTTTTGTTGCACTGAAAAATGAAAGTTACACAGGTTTGGAACAAAATGAGAGATAATTAACCCAAAAATCAATATTCAATGAATAATGAATATTTTCTCAGTCTGTGAATCTTTGTTATATTTTGTTTGTCCATTCATTAACAGGTATGTCGGGGTGAAGATCTTCTTGTCCATTGCTGTGTGTGTGTGTGTGTGTCTGTGTGTGTGTGTGTTTACCAGTTCAGTTTTACACTATCTGCCATCTTAATTAAGTCTGGGACACATTCCAGGTCCTCAGCTTTGGGGACCAGTCAGTAAAAGTGCTTACAACTCTGAACCACATACACACACACACACACACAGTCTCTTGAGTCTCAGAGATCAGACGTGGAGTGGGGGGTGGGTGTTTCTTGAGCCGTGGAATACAGTGGGATGAAAGGAGAGCGAGTGGAGTGGGTGAAGGAAGTACATCATATGTATGTGT